GTGTCGTTGTCAGTGAGGAGTTCCGTCGGAGGTCCACGTTCAAAGAACAATGACCCCAAGTGGTCAATGATGCTTGCAGAATCCTGTCGACGCAGACGCTGCCAAATAGTGAACCGGGTTGGGCCACAGTCAATCAGAGTTAAATAGTGATGTCCATTACAACACGGTGCCACACCTTGCTTACACTCACTTGTGAAGCGGGTACTAAGGTTTCGTTGATGTAGATGTCGTCAATGTAGGCTGACGTCGTTTGACGAATTGTCTCATCCTGGGATAGCACAGCATCCACGATGGCTTTCATGATGGCCGGCGCCACATTGAGTCCGAATTCCATTTGGGTTAAGCAGTATCTCGTCCCATTAAGGATCACCGTCTGAAATGGCCACAGTGACCGGTGCACCATTGCCTACAAGTAGGCCTTTTGAAGGTCAATCACAGAGACATTGGATCCCTTTGCTTATTCTCTCAATTTTTGTGCACACACATCAGCATGAGCTGTGTATGTCTACACGTTCGTTCAGTTCTCTATAATCTAGTACAGGGCACACCTTTCCCTTGTTCTTTTGTACCACGGCCATCAACGGGATGAGGCCTCTTGGAGGACCAAGCTCTTCCTCGGGATACGGAGTCAGCCATCCATTATCCAGCCACACCTGCAATTCGCACTGGTATTCTTCCTTGACGCATTCGGGCACCGAATATTCTGACACTCGGTTCTGGAGCTTTTCTGGTGGGTTATTTTCCGACCATTTCCAAAATGCTGTCCATATCTTCGTCCTTTGGTCGAACTCTGCGCTAAAATCGGGCTCATTGATCTTCAAAGTAGCACAGATGGGCGGATCAGAAAACTTGACTTCGCCCATCTCTGTAATGCGTACGCCACCCAGCTCCTTAATAATGTCCATCCCAAGGAGCAGATCGAAACCTAATAACACGCTGTCCACGACCAACACACTGACTGTGACAGGGTCACCGTTATTATTACTGAGTTTGATGTTTCCAACTCCTGGCTTCTGAGAGCCTTTCCATCAGCCGTTAGTACGTCCATCTTTTGTCTGCTCCACTGTTGGCCGTCGAACCGTTCGTGGAGTGACCGAGCAGCCCAAATCTATTAAAAGCGATGCATGCGTTATTCCATTGATGTGTACTTTAATCACAGAGAGCGCCTCTTTCATGCTCGGTGCGGGGAAGAGACCGGCGCTGACGTCGCGTCCCCCATTCCATTTCCCGGACACTTAGAGGCAATATGACCTACTTTATGACTTTGGAAGCATCGTAGATTGAGATGTGCCTTTTGCGCTGACCCGCTGCGCATTTCTTTGCGTTGATAGCGGCAGTCTCTGGCAAAATGATTCGGCCCAGAGCACCGATAGCAGGTGGCAACGCCATGGCAACGAATGGCTGGGGTCAGACCTTCTTTGACTTCAATTGGTTGAATAACTGCGGCCACTGGTTCATCAGCCTCTTTTTCGTCGATCATGACAGCACGGGCTCTGGTCAACAATTGATTGAGCGTCAGGTCTTCTATTCTGGATGATTCACGGAGTATCTGCTTAACATGACTGGGCAACCCAGAAACGAAGGCACATGTCATCTATTCTTCAGGAAGCGGTGCGATTGGAATGGTGAGCTTCTTTAATTCTGCCAAATATACGTCTACTGTCTCGACAGGTTGCAGACGCCATGCCTGGAATTGGTCGTAGGCCACGAACCGGTCAGTTCCAAACGTGGCTAGTAGAGCGTGCTTTATTTGCTCAGTGTCACTTTTCTGCCTATACACAGCAAGGGCACCGCCATTCAATCGCAGAGGAAGAATCCGATCAATCTTCGATATCTCGCATAATTCACAGACCAGTTCCACCTTTTCGATCCATTCAACCACGGACTGTCCACTAGTATCACCACTGAATTCGGGGATCAGTTTTATATTGAACGGTCTTTCCACCATCTTGCGAGAGACAAAGTAAATGCCGAAATAGCTTGAAGTGTAAGCGTTCTCAAAGCAAATTTGTTACTTTCACAACACAAAGAAAAATCACTAAGTCCAGACGCAAGTATCGGGGGCAGAAAAAAAATGCTGAAAACTCGATTCGCCGGTACTATCTTAAATAACAATGCTTGTAACGAGTCAGGAAAATAACTCACTCTCCAACAAACGCCGTAGCCAAAAATGCCCGAATTTTCCTTCTTCGGCAGATCGCACACAAAACACAAACTTTTTTTCGGGGTACCTGATTATCTCGTTCACTACAAGTCAAAAGCATGACAGCATGACTTGCAGACTACTAGCATCCTGTATCCACCAGAGCTGTACGTGGTATTCCATTGATACGAACTGTCACTACAGGCAATGCGCCATTTACAAGAGTTTTGGGGAGGAGATTGGCGCTGAACTCTCGACCCCTTGCCCGTTTCCTGGACAACACCGAGCAATGTGCCCTTGCTGATGACATCGATAGCAAGTGATGGTCCGTCGATGCTTGGTACCAGCACTTTTGGATGGTTCACGATCCAGGAGACAATCGCTCACCCTATGATTGACTCCATCGCATTTATAGCACCTAGTGTTCACATCTATTTCCTTCAATTGTGCAGCCACTGCGGGCTGCTCCATAGGAGCAGTGCACTTCTTCAAAATAGCACGAGCTCGTGCCAACACATGTGACAAATCCAGGTCTTCCATCTGGGATGACGCTCTTAAAAGCTCCTCTGCATGCTCAGGCAATCCAGCAATGAATGCACACTGCAAACACTTTTCCGATATGCCACCAAACAGAACCGCAAGTCTGCGCAGTTCTGCCAAAAAGACGTCGACCGTCTCCCTTGGCTGAAGGCAACGTGCTGCCAACTGCTTCCACGCGGAGAAGGGATCTAAGGCGAAAGCTGTGAATAACGTTTTCTTAACGCAATTGAAGTCTTACTCCATTTTGACTTAACATACAATAAATTTTTAGGTATCTTCTATCATGACCAGCAATTCTTTAATAGTGTTACACATCAAGCTTTTAACTTTGCTTTTAGATTCCAGTAAAGCAATCACAGTATCTTCAAAATCATCTTTTCATTTCAATATCAATCTGGATAAGCCATCTGTGTGCCCCAATTTTTTTTTATGATAGAAATTCTATCTTGAAATCATATTTCAATAAAATTGTACCATAATGCCGTCGTCTGTTTGCAGTATGTGTTGGAATCCCTTTCTTAGAACTGAATATATTTAATATTGAATGATTAGTTTGCAGTATGAATTTTCTTCCTAATATCATCCTGTGAAATTTCTTTACACCAAAATTTATAGCAAGTGCTTCATTTTCAATTTGACTGTAGCATTTTTCTGTATTTGTCAAACTTGAAGTGTGGGTGACTGCTTCCATGGAACTGTCTTCAAATTTATGGCTTATTACCACTCTTATTCTGTTTTCATTTATGTTCGATGTTACTATTATTTGTAGCTGCAGGTCATAATGTGTCAGCAATAACTCTGAAGTTAGTAGTTTTTTAATTCCTTCAAAAGCTTTCTGGCACTCCGCCAGCCAATTCCATTTCGTACTCTTCTTAAATAAATTATTCAGAAGTGCTCATAATTTGTACATATCTGACACATATTATAATAATTTTCTAATCCAAGAAATGAATGTAGGGTCACCAAATTTGTCAGCGGAGTCATGTCTTTAATGCCACTTACTCTAGTCTTCTTTCTTTTTCATCAATTATCAGACCTAAATATTTAATCTTATCCATAAACCATAATCATGCAGTCTCTGAAATACTTGCTGAATCAGTTTAACATGCTGTATTTTTCTGCAATGGCAATGTTACACATAATTTTCTCAAGAAAAATTAATTTCTTGCCCAATATTCTTCTTGCAACTTTGTCATTTTTTTCAAGTTAGGCTTACCAATTCTGCTCCAAGTTTGTTCATCACTAATTGTAATATCGCTACTAATGTCCAATTGAAATCTCACCATAGTGTTATTCATTTTTACTGCCACAAATTTTCTATTATTTGAACTTTCCAGTTTTTAGCTGGTAGCACTACTTTCAGCAAGGTAATTTATGTATTTCTTCTGCTTTCAATAGCTTCATTTGTGACATGTGTCCACAATTAAAACATTTTTTGGTTTAAGCAGAGAGTCCTTCCTGAAATGAAGCATGCTACAGCCATAGCATAGATTAAATTTGGCAGTATTTTTATTTTGAATTTTTTCTTTTGGTACTACTGTCTTATTTCGAACTACTTGTACTTCTGACATGCTATTTTGTTCAATTTTTGCTGTATCATGCCTATCGTGACAATTTTTTGGCACTCTTCTGCAATAGTCTGTATCATTAACTTTAAATCCTGTTCAAGTTTTGTTGAGAGCATATTTTTGCATCGTTTCTAGATGTTAGACCTTTAATAAAGATTAGACATTTAAATCTGAATGGGGATAGTTTGTCCAGTTTAAATTTCTCACACTTATGGTTGACTTTACTGGCATATATGACAAAATCTTCATCTTCATCCTTAGTAAGGTTCATGCACTGCCAGTGTGTATAAAAAAAGTGAATTCTTTTCACCAAAAGTTTTTGATAATATCAACAGTTTCAGTAAATGACACTCTTTCTAGAGTATTAAGCAAAATGAAATTTAGATATTTTTCATCTTCATGTTTCCCAGCGCTTTTTCTCTAAATATTTTCTACTTCACAAATTTAAGCACAATATTAGATTAGCAGCTAGGCCTGATAATTTAACTCTTGAAATTGATGCTAACAGTTTCTTCTCTCACACTTCTCACTTTCCTGTCAAGATCTTCAAAAATTTAAATGCAACATCAATCCTCATCTTGAGTCTTATCCATTTATTATGCTCCTTAATTTTTTCACTCTCTCCACAATCTTTTGCATCCTAATGGCTTTTATCACTTTGCTTCGGATGAAATGATTAACAAAAAAGGGTCCCTACCAAAAAAAAAATTTGTTTTCTATTTTCTTTCATGTGTTCATCTTCAATTCAGATACACTGGCTTACAAGAACATGCTTTATGGCTTTAAAAGTTCAATATCAGTAGAAGAAGACATAGAAAATTCTGACTCAGAAACAGATGAGTTGGAAAAAGAATTTGGGACTAGCATACCTGATGCTCGACAAAGGTGAGCAAATTTTTTTTTCTTCACTTGTTTTGTTTGCCCAAAATATTATCACCACCTGCTTAATAAAGTGCTGGTCCTTCACATGGTTGCAAAACAACTTTTAGCTTATCGGGTACAGACTGTACAAAACCTCTAAATACATTTTCTGCAATCTGATATAAACAGCAAATCCTTTCATTGCTGTAAGTTATGTTGCTGAGGTTCTGGCAAGTGAACTTCTTGATCCAACATATCCCAACAATAGGATTGAGATTTAGGAAGTTTACTAGAAAGGCTAACTTTGATTTTAATGCCCAACACAATTGTCAGGTGCTGAGTGAAAACGCGCTGTTGCATAATTTAAATATTGATATATGTACCATACTATAAAGATAGTGAAGCAGCCCATTTTGTTGGGCTGGGTAAACAAAAATAAAAATAAAATAAAAAATATAATATATACAAAAACACATACACACAAATATCATGACATCCACATTTGCATAGAAAGGTATCAAGAAAAATAGAAAGGTATACAAACAAAAATTTATGTCTATTTACAGATCAACATGCTATTGTATTCATACAAAAATATAAATACATGCACACAGAAAAAAATATATACAAACATCTATTATATATATATATTGTGGGGAAAATAGAAATGGTTTTTTCCTCCCAAGCACCCTTGTGTCTGTCTGGCCTGTGGGTTGAGAAAGGAAAGAAAAGATCCAAGATGGCGTCCGTGACTTTTTAATATTCACGGTCTCGCAGTTTCAATGCGAAAGTTTTTCTTACACACATGCTAATGAGGTGTGTCTTTATCCATAAAAGCAGGTCGCTTGGAGAAATTGGCAGAACGGCATTACACCCAATGTTTGGTGTACATTTGCTTTGCGTTGCTTATCAGACATTTTCAGACGGAAAGAGTTTTTTCCCTTACACTATTGAAGTCAACTCATTTGCTACATATATGTATGTCTATATATGTCTATCTATATATATATATATATATATATATATATATATATATATATATATATATATATAAATAGATTTACACACACACACATAAATATGCATGTGAATATCCATTATATCCAAGTATATATCTAAACTAAATATAAACAAGAAACATTACATATATGTGTGTGTGTATATTTACATAATATATATATATATATATATATATATATATATATAAATTTAAACAAAACGGACGTCATATCTAAGGTACTTTTTGGCCGAAAGGTACCTTAGATGTTGTACAGATCCCACCATAGACAAAATAGGTCTCAGTAGGACTCCATCTTTGTGCACTTTGTGAAGTCTATACACCTGTTGGTCACACCCTGTTTTAAACCTCCTTAGAGATCAGGTTACCCTTGTATTAGGATAGTAACCATCTTTGTTTTCTGGCTTCAACTTTACTGTATCTGCAGGACCAATCATCCTAAACTTTGCAGGATCATTTAAAATATCATTCATTTTATCCAAATAATCTTGTTTATTTAGGATAACACCAGAACCTTTATCAGGCTTGGTTAGATACATGTCATCCCTTGACTTTAATGATTTAATAGTATGAAAATGAATACCTTGCCAAGCAAGGAAATCCCGCTCAACAGAAAGAGTAGAATATTCATTAGCTAATTCAAGTAGTCTTGTCTTAGTTGCAGAAAACCTCTCAGAAGAATTTGGGATATGTTTTATTAACCGAGTAAACAACATCTCGAATTCAGTTAAAATATGTTCCTTACTGATTCTAGAAGGTGGAATGCAGAAATCCAAACCATGAGAAAGAACCGACAGTTTAATCCCAGTTAAAGTGATGTTGGAAAAGTTGAAAATATGTTTGTTCAAATTATCTTCAGCTACCATAACATTTCTAGAAATGAGGCTATTTAAATATTTATTATTACTCTCTCCGACTGATTTTTCAAACTGTAACCTAACAAAAACCAAGTAACAAGAGAGACAAAAATAATCATAAAATGACAATTTACCTTGTATTTCTTTTAAAATAAAATGAAACGAGTTTTTTTTTTGATAGTGAAAAATCAAATAATTTGTCCAAATCATTTTTTATATATATATATATATATATATATAGTTATTATTTTTAATAAATATTTTAACTCTATCACTGATATTGAGTGCTTTCCAATAAATATTGAAGAATGCATATATATATATATATATATATATATATATATATATATATATATATATATACACACACATACACACATATATATATATATATATATATGCATATATATACATATGTAAGCAAATATATGGATATAGATCCAACAGTATGAAGAAAAAAATATACAGAAAAAACAAACAAAAAAATCTTAATATGCAATTATGCTGTATTAATGTTAATATAAAGTCAACGTCGGACGTTTCGGTCTATTTTAGACCATCATCAGGACATTTTCATTTAAAACATAATTAACATTAGAACATATAAAAAATTCAACATGAAAAAGACGATGGACATAAGAGTACAACTAATCCAAACAGATAACTGAAATTTTTTATAAGATCAGATTTCCGTTTAAATATGATCACGTCGTGTCGTCACGTAAGCGATGTTGTGAAAAACGTATTCGAAGATGATTTCCAAATATTAAAATATTAAAAAATTATATATTGATCTATTTTATAAAAAGTTTTAATCTTGAAACATTTATCATTATAGATGTTTATTTAAATATATAACTTTTTATATATTTAAGGGTTTAATAATCATTGTGATAAATATAAATATAATCAAAAAAGTTTTTTCATATTTTAGGCTTTTGGAATTTCAAGCATGAAAACAATTGGATATAAATCCAACCCAATTTTCAATTGAATTTTTCTTTATTTTAAATATTTGAACCTTTTGATAATATTTAAAAAGAAATTATTGATCTTTTTTAACAATTTCTTTAAAATTTGGGGTATTTTGGCAGTGTTTATTCCCATTAACATTCATTTGAAGATCCATTTTGTATTATGGGAAAACCCCTTAATGAATATCAAAAAATCTGACGAATGAAATTTTAATGAATAAATCAGCATTATTTTATATTTGTAACTGGATTAATTTGCAAATTTTTCTATATTTGTATATAATTAGATATAATTATACCTATTCATTTTTTTTTATTTTGCATGCCAGAAAAAAATAATTATTGGTTGTTTTGTCATTTAAATATTACTTCAATAAACATAAAACATTTTATACAAAGATTAGATAAAAGTCTTTCAGAATGGTTTTTAAGATCATGAAATAAATGTTGTTTATTTATTTCAATTGTTTCATGGGGATATTTTTTTATTTTTTATTTTTTCAAACCCCCAATTAACAAATGTAACATCTTTGAAATTTTTATCCAGTTTGTAAATATAATCATATATATATTGAAATAAATATATTATATATAAAATTTCTATTAAACATTTGTCATTAAAGATCATTATTTAAAAAAGAAAGGGGAAAAGACATTTAAGAATTAATATCCTAAAATTTTTGAATTTAGATTGCATAAAAAAGATCATTTTTTGAAATTGATTAATCAAAAGAATTTATATACTGTTTTTTAAATCCAAATTAAATCCATTTTTCCAGAAATTTTTTATCATTAATAAAAAATCATTTAATGTATTTATCTTCCTCTAACAAAATTGCTTTTTTTTGTTCCAATTTTTGCACAATTAGTTGATAACATCTATCATTTTTAACTTCTCTATGAATAATGGATTAATAAATAATAAAAAAAAAGCTGGCATTCAAAAAAATTTTTTTCTATAATGATAAATGTCAGTCCTTGTAGGTTCATTACCGAATTTATATAAGAAATGCAAATAAAAATCTTAGCCAGTGAAGATTTCTTACAATTTGGTATTAAAACAAAGAAAAAAAATTCCTTTGGTTTTTTTAGTTGGCAAATTTTCCAGTTTACTGTTGAACAATTTTTGGAGGTTACTAATAGTTTTTTTATTCTATATATATGATATTTTATATATATATATAAAAATGAACAAATGAACTTAAAGTTCAATCTGATTAGTTGAAGCATCCCTTTGGGATCGTTCTGGAAAAGTCTAATTTGTCATTAAAGGAATTTTGACATTGTTGGTCTAATAATGATTCAGAATGACATTTTCATCAAAGGCCTGAAAACTATCCGTCCATTGTCAAGGAAATCTTAACAAAACTAGGAGGGAGTCCTATAAAAATAAACTTTTAAAGATCTGGATGTAGATTTTTTCATTGCTAAAACAAGTTAAGTGAAAGATACTGAGGTATATTGAAAGGTTTTCATTGATAAAATTATTGAAATGTAAATTTATTCCTATATCTCTGTTTGTGTAATAATTCAAGTATATGTTTTTTTGGCTTTAGATATTCAACAAAATGAGTCCATATTTATTCCTGAGGGAACTTTTGCAGGAATAAGATTGGCTTTCCACTCTTCTATCTATATCAATTTCCATTTTTTAAAAATACTTCAATTTGAGTTTTGTATCTATATATATATTTATCCGTATATAATATAATCATTAAATAAAAATAAAAAAAGAAAATTTTTATTTTGTGGAAAATTTTCCTTTTCAAGCCTATTATGTTTGTTTGGTAATTTTGGCTATTCTGCCTTTTATGTGATTATTCCTTAATTTTCACTAATCCAAAGTAAATGATTTTTAAAATATGAACTAACAATATTTCATTTTTTTATATATTTTTGGAGCCATTCTGTTAAAGTTCCTTGTGTCTTTAAAATTCATTTCCATCTCTTCTGAATTAAATTCTGTTTGACGATTTTGATATATTAGCCATTTATTTTATCTCAAGATGATGTTTTGATATTTGTTATTTATGGTTGATTTTGATTAATTTTTACCAAGGAGGAGAATCTTTTTTAAATTTTTGCATCTGATTTTTCTTCTTTTTGGAACTTTCCCCTCACCATACCAAGTCAACTGATTTTATCGTTGTTGTTGGAAATTTTTTTTCTTCCTTCTCTT